GCCCCGGGCTGAGACCGCCCGCCACGGCCACCGCCACCACCATGGGCTCTCGGGCTGCACGGCTGCAAAATAACCCCAAGCCCAAGAGCTGGCCAAACAGAGATCCCTCCGTGGAGAGACCAGAGTAGGCCTGCCCGCGCCGCTCTCCCGGGCCGGCAGGGCGCAGAAGGACCCTCGAGTTGGAGAATAACCACCAAAACCCAGATTTAGGCCAGGCCAGGATGATGGAGGCTTGACTCTTCCTGGCTCAATCCAAATCAGGAATGGGACAATTGAAATAAATTAAACACTGGAGCTATTACCAGCGTCGAAGAATTATTTTTCCTCTCCCTATGCCCCCGAGCAGTTTGCCATGTGCTAAACAATCCCTCCTGCCCGTCCCTGACACATGCCCAACAACATATTCCCAGAAATCTTACAGTCCTTGGAGCCCTGTGGTTTTCAACTTTCCAAATCCTTATTTTTTTTCTAGTGAAGACACAAGAGCTCTGCCTAGTGATTTGTGCCTACCAAAAAGTTGCTTTTTTTAGTTAGTTTTTATAGCCTCCCCTAGAAGCACTTCATGAATTTCCAGACCACAGAATGAAAACCATCAGCTGAGTAATGGACAAACCCCAGTGGCTCTGCTCACACCCACGTAGGTCTCCACGTAGGTGTAACAGGGATGTTTTCTGAAGGCAACCCACCCAAAGTTTGGACTCCACAGCTTAGAGGCAGCAATGAAACACAAAGGAGAATTTGCTGCACTTTGTAGCATCTTACAGGAGTAACATTATCTAACGCATTGTCGGTATTAACTTAAGAAATTTCATTCCTACTGAGCAACTTTATGTTTTCCTCTGGTGCTGCTAACTCCAAATTGCTCCAAACACCTCCCTTTCCCCTAAACGGTCTACAGCAAATAGACAACAGTGACAACAAACATTAATTGCCTGACCAGATACTCACAACTCCAGAGCATTAGAAACCATTTAAACACGCTTTGGAAATTTCTTACCACTACGATTTTGGGAATAGGCTGCAATAATTGTTTTCATGGTGGCAAGAAGTTCTGCTCCCGACTCTGGTTCTGCAGGTTAAAAGGCAAGTTTGGAAATACCAGACTGAGATTGTGTATCCAGTTGCTTTAACTCCACCAGCTGATCCAAGATAAACGGTCTGCTGTGGAGGGGAGCGGACAGGCTCCAGCCTCAACCTACAGCACAAGGAGAGAAGCTGGTACTCCTCGGGAGGAAAAGGAGATCACGCTCAGTACCAAAGAGCTGCTTGCATGAAGGGTGGTGTGCTTTTCCTCTGAAACACACAATTACCAGAATTCTTCATCATTCTCGGAGATCATTTGGCAGGTGCTGCCTTCCCCCCTGCAGGGAATGGTACCGTCCATACTTCGGAGATTTCACAAACCGCTCTCATGCCTTTCTGGTGTGACTTCCCCCAGGGCTGCCTGAAACCATCATTCCGAAATCTCCTGCTCTGCATTACAGGAATACACTTTGCCAGGTGGGTCCCAACCATTAGCTCCACTGTCCAACACAAAATCCCATCCTTTTCCACGGCCCCAGTTCAGTGGAGGAGAAAGTGCTCTGTCCGTGACTAGGAGAGGCACCAAAGGCAAAGACCTGGCACCATTTCTCCCATGTTCTTGAGACTGGATGTTTTTCCTTTCACCAGTCTCCCTTTGGGGCTGCTGGAAATGATAGGAAAGGAGATTGAATGTGAAGCTCAGTTCTTTGTTCTTTCAACCCAAAGCTGATCCACCCAAACAGAAAATGTTCACATTGTGTGCTAGACTAAGATCAGAAATTAATGATTTTGAGAAGATAATAATCTTTAAGAGGATGATAGGTGAACTGTCAGGCACGTGGCTATGGCCTGATAGCCCAGAAATACTGGAGTAGCGCTCACAGAGGATGAGAGACCCAAAGTTTTTTTTCTGCTTAGAAAGCAATCTGCATCAAGCTTCCCCGGATCCTGCTGTGAAGGTTGGAGGAGGGTTATGGTGAGCAAGTATCTTCAGGAATTCATTGCAATAGCCTTAACGTGGGGATTGCGGCTTTGGCTGGAATTACAGCTCATCAAAACACTAGCACAGAAGGCTGAAAGGAGGATCGGCTGTAGCTAAATCAAACAACTTTAGGCAAGATTCCCTCACAAATGTACGTAGAAAAAAAAAAAAAAGGGCAAACCAAAAATTGCACAGAAGTAGCCCTGAGATGTGGCTCCAGGCTACCAATGACAGGAATAGTAAAGACCTGCAGAATCTAGTTCACTAGAACTAGTGTTCAGGATCTACCTTTCCAGAAGTACTCATTAAGAGTAGTAGTCCCTCTAACATCAAATGTAGGAAAAGGGTAAATCCATGTATAAGACTGCATGGGTGTTAGTACCAAAAAAACATTTCAGAGGAGAGATCTGAAACCCACAAAATTCATAGACAAAATCTGCTCTTTAAGTCATAGAGATTAGATACCTGGAAAAACGGGCATAACAGCATCCATTGCAGGACACCGCTTCCCAAGCGCGGATGAGCTAAGTAAGAGGAGCAGAGATTGCTTCATACTGCTAGGTATAAAAATGTCTAAACTCCACTGAAGCCTAGCTGGTCCCTGAGGTGTGCCTAAATCATGTTAATGTGAAGGAAAAACACTAGACCCTCTCTAAATCATCATCCCTAAAGATAAGGGAAAAAGCCTGCAGAGGAAAACCTCTGACTGAACTTCAAAAAAAAATCAGAAAGCAAATACCTCGTGGCCCGCTCTGGATAACACACATGACCACATTAGCAGCTGCCATAGGAATTAGGCTTTGTCTTTAACCTGACATTTATAACATAGCTTCCATTAGCAGAACACTGGTTTAAAATCACAGCTGTCCACCACGCTAGGCGAGTCCAGAATTTCCAGCATTTGTTCAGGTTTCTTACCCAGCTACTTCTGTGATTCAGGTCAGTGCTAGGTAGAGCAGAACAGTCACGCCTGCTCTTCTTGGTCAGTTCAGGATTATTCCTAACAGCTATTTAAACCAGCTTTAGGGGAATCCAGACAGGGGTTTCACCACTTCAGGGCTATTCCGTAAGCAGATTTCAAAGCACAGTGGCAGTCAGTGCACTACCCATCTTTTGAATATTGCACAACTTCTCCCATTATTAGCCCCTGTAGGACGCTAAGTTGGTTGAGCGTATGCACAGAACGTGTATTATACCATGCGATAGCCATATAACCTCCCTCTTACGCTAAGTGAAAAGATAAACATTTCTGTTACGGCATTTGTACTATGTGTATCAACAGCACTTCAGAACACAGGCCTTGAAATACCTGATCTGCTTAACATGCAAAAATCCAAAACACTTTTGTTCGCCACTTTGGGAAGATTGAAGGCCACCACTACACCTGGCTGCATAAGATCTGTTTGCCAAGGTGAACACTGCAGTGCAAGCTGTAGCGTTCAAAAGCCTTGACTGAAAATACTCCCTGAAACAGACCACCTGACAGTTCACATTTCCCACCCTCAACTCTTTAGGTTGCTGGAAACCAACCTTACAAAACTGCTCTGGAAGAGCCTAGGACAAAGAGCAAGGGATTTTTACAACAAGAACTAGTCAGGACAAGAGATTTTATTTTGTTTAAAATATAGAGAAAAAATAAATACATCCACCAACAATACAAAGAGCTGTTTCCAAATTCATGTACTTTCTCTCAAGGACTTCCTCTGACTGGGAGAACAGAGGTAGTCTGATCCCTCAGAAAGAGCTCCTCTTGAGAAGAGCTCCTGTGTACATGAGCTCCTGTGCACATGACGAGTGCACTCTCAGTCTGACATTTATGTAAACCAAAACAAACTGTCCTGCTCACTCCTCAGACTTGGGTGACTCCCAGAGAAGTCAAGGATACCTCTGCATATGTACAGTGTATTTACTCCTATATCTCCAGGACATAGGCATTCTTACAGGATTTCCAAGCCTTATTCTTTCTGCAGCTGGAGCATCAGCCCATATTCTGTCGATTGCCATAGCCTCTTGGGTGTGTATCTTTCCAGTCATCCCAGTTCCGAGCTTTTTGGAGAGCTTCCTCATCATCCTCTTCCTCTTTTTTCTCCTTCTGCTTCTTCTGCAGTTCTTCATCAGTTATACCTGCTGTAGGTCAAGAATAAGAGTGAGGGGCAGTAAGACAGTGAAAGATCACTAGCCAAGTTCTCAGAACAGAAGCCCATCAGGGAGCCAGTACAGACAGAAAGCAGGAACTGCCAACCAAAAGCAACCTAGTAATCCAGCTACTCTCACAGCCTAACAGGGAAAGTTTGTTCCTACTCTTCATCAGTCAGTGGATGTTTTATATCTTGAACATATCCCCATTCACTCTTCCCCTTGCAACGGTTCCCAAATTCTCTACGCCAAATTTTTACTTCTCCACTCCATACCCGGTGTTCTCTGAGGTACGCTCTGACCAGGCATGACTCCTTGCCTTCTGCGCTGTTCATACCAGTCATCTACTGTCATAGTTGGCAGGCCAGGATATCCAGCACCAAACACTCTATGGGAAGAAAAAGTCAAGGAATGCACTTTACGTACCCTTATTAATGAAAAGAAACAGCTAGCAATGCAGAGGAATACTCTGTACTCCAATTTGTACTGTAATAGAAGACATTTTGTCATGGATGGTTTGGGAACAGATATATTTCTAGGGTCCGGGCCTTCAGCAACAGGCTTGCCAGTAACCTGGCCATAACAGTATTTAAACAGTTCATCTAGTAAGTTCAGGGAGATAAAGACTGTTCTATTCCAAAGGCCTTGAACCACTTCTTTGCAAAGGAGAAAGCTCTCTGCTAGCTTAACTTGCCAAGGAAGCCACTGGGATTTAGGCACTGCTTAGCTAAGTAGATATACTGAAGACTCAGGGCAAGCAATGTCAAAAGCATGACAAAAAAACTGGTTTCTATCCCATTTTGTGCTTTAGCTGCCATACGCTTTACAAGAATCTGACAGTACCGCAAAGTGTTAAGACCTTGATCCCCTAAGGGGAGACTTATAGTCAAAGGCTGTTGTGACTGATGAATCTCTGGCAGGTATCACTTCTTCCCAGCCACTAAGATCACTTATTTGAATTCACTGAAATCTTCCAGAGCGCACATCAGATTAACAGACACACATGTGCTTTTCACCACCAGGTTCTTAAAGAGCGAAGAACAATCCTGTTACACCATACAGAGGTTTAGAGGGTGAGATAAGCCTTGCCTCTCCACAGCTAACCAAAGAGCAAGCATACGGTCTATGAACTAACACAGCCATATATGCCTCGTGCAGTCTTCTCTTCTGCCACTCCGATAGGAGGAAACAACATTAACAAAGACACTGCAGCATGCTGGTAACAAAAGAAACTACAGAGAAGGTGGAAGAAATAAATTAGACGCTTCCCTCATCCCCTGCCCCAGATGTACAATACATGCCATCTTGATGTGGCACATTTCTTAAGGATAACCACTGCTTTACTGCATTGGAAAGAATATCCTAGGGTTGATAGGACAACAGAGCACTGCATCACACTGTGTCTAAATAATCAAAAAACAACATACTTAGCCTGAGCAGCATCCCGAGTAAGAATGAAAGGTTTCAACGGAGCCCTCGCTTGCCGAGAAGTACTGTGTGGTGGTGCTGAAGACTGAAGTTGCAAACAATAGTCACAAGATGATCATGTAGATGACAGCCCCCTTCTTTCCTTTCCACCCCAAACAAGTTATTAAAGGTCTTGCAGATGAAGAACGCCTCTGCTGTCAGAGCAGCATCCTGAGATGGACAAATCAGGCCCTAATCCAGTTTAGGCCATGAACTCCATCTCTGAGCTTCAATAAATCACTTCTATTTGTGCCTTTGTTACATCAGTTCTGATCAAAGCACAAAGCTGACAGAGCTGAACCAGACCAGCTCAGATCACAGCGAGAAATATAGCTTTCCCCGGATGAAACAGTACTTTCTGCAGCAAGTGGAACTCATCATTCACAATGACGTTATCACCTGGGCACTACAGAAAAGCCAAACTTCTACAGTGCCAGATAATGAACTGCACAAACAAGTCATGCCAACAAAACCGGGCTGTGGCACATTTATGCCCATTATATATTTTTAATTGTGGACATTCATTTAGTTGAGCAGCACAATGCCCAGAAACACTTTTCTGCACAAGATTTGCAGGTTCATGAGATGCTTTAATCATTCAGAACAGACATTCCTGGAATGTCTGGACATTTTCTTAGCTAGAACTATATGCTTGGGGGAAGCAAAAAAAAAAAAAAAAAAAAAAGGACAAAAAACCCACAAAAACCAAAACCAACCCAAGGCTCCTATTTTAGTCAAAAATCCACTTAGTTCTTCAGTGTTAAGGGACTGGCACAGCCCAATAAAGTGGAGAACAGCCTTTCCACACACACCAGCTCAGCTTTGATATTCAATGCTCTAGTATTTCACAACTGTCTAGGACATGTGGTGGCACCAGACAGTGACTAATCCAAAAGAGACCACCACCCATCCAAAATTCATGCATTTAGGTAATGTGTGAGCTAGATTTCAATCTAGAACTTTGCAGAATAAAACTTAGAAAACTCTGCCTCTGAGGTTCGTTTACCCGCAACAGTGTCTGTCATCAGGTCTAAGCGTCCACAGGATCTGCAGTTCAAGAGAGATCTCGTACCTGTTTTACTGTACCTCTGCTCCTCAAAATGAACATTTCTTGGTCAATACTCTCAATTTCCTCAAGGCTGACGTTGATCCATTTCTGGGTTTGCAGGAGGTAAAATTCCCGCATCTGATCTTCATCTGCTTGCCCACTCTCCACAAAGGTTCTCATAGAGGCCAATCTGTTCTCCAGTTCCTTCTTCTGCTTATACCTGGTTCACAGAGAATAAAATGAGATCGTCTGAGTAACCTTCTCTAGCATAACCCAGATACTGCGTTTTCTAAAATAAACAACTTGCTCTTTCTTGAAATTCAGTCAAATTCAGTGAAAGAGCTACCTCCTGCCTCAATCCCATTTTAATCGCTTTTTACATAGGTGCCGGTTGGAGATCATCGCTCATTAGCGTAAGCAAATCCCAGACGTTCATAAAGCTCCCCGTATCTTAGAAAAACCTCCCTGTGGAAGCAGTTTCCATTCATTTAACAACAGAATAACAACCCTGCAATGACTTAGAGGAAAATTTTCATTATGAAGAGAACCAATGGCAGCACCAGATCATACTGAGGGTTACTTGCTGGTGACCTCTAAAGTGTGAGCACAAGGCAAAACACCAAGCGCAAGGATATATCCACCCACCTCAATTAGAACCACCTGACTGACAATTTAAGTTTTTTGACACAGGGAAAAATACAGAAAAGATCCACTTCACTCGCAAAAGCTTTGAAAACACACAGTGTTTGCAGAAAGATGCATACAGTGCTAATATCATTTCCTCCCAAGATCTACCCCATCACTTTCATCTGTCCACTCAAGTTGAGACTTGACTTTGGATCTTTGCTACTCTTTGTAGGACATTTTAACACTATATTAGATATTTAGGAAGAGAATTTTGTACCAAAAGGGAGGTCCTGACGGTTTACTGTTCCAATTTAAAGTAGCTCCTCATTGTTAATGACAGCTACAATAAGACAGTTAAAATGCCTTTTCTCTACCAATTATTATTTTTTGTGCTAAGAGGTCAGCAAACCTAAAAAGTTAAGCCTCTCAAGCAAAATTAGGCACACTTGGCAGGGCTAATTGCTGGAGAAAAAGGAATTAAACTCTTCAGCTCCTTCACTGAGATAACCAATACAACAGCTATTTTGAATTGTCTCTACATTATACGAAGTTATCAAAAAGCTGCTTATAAGGCAGATTAATTCATGAAGAGTTCTGATCTGCAGAAAACCAAAACTGTGATTAAAAGAAACAAACAAAAACCTGATATAAGAACTGGAAGTGTGTGCGTGGTGGGGGCGGGGAAGACAACTTGATACATTTTAGGCTTGTGTCCAACTTCCTTTACTTACAGTGAGAAATGAACAGTAAGAACCAAGGATTAGAAAACTACAGGAGCTGAGAGGAGAAGCAGCCTAGAAGAATCGTGCAGCAGGGCAGGTTTGCTTCAGCTTGCCTCCTGCAGCGCCAGCCTGCTCCACGGGCTCCGGGACGCTGGAGCACCGTGCTTGCGTCCTGCTTGGAGAGCGAGGGTAAGGCAGCTCGGACGACACAGGCCTGGGCTAGACACAGGCCTCCTTAACAACATGCGTCTGTACAGCCTATGGATTATTCCTGAAAGCAAATACAATTGCAGCTCCTCACCTTGCACCCAGATCAAGTAACGACCTGCTTTCAACCAAACTCTCAACACAGGCACCTCTGGTTTTTCCGCAGGCAGCAGAAGGCAGGGCACAGCCAGACGAGCGCCGTGGGAGCGGTGCGTCTACAGGTGGACGATGCCGGGCGCAGCGGCACCCCCTCTGCTGGAAGAGGAACCAGGTTTTGCTTTGGTGCAAGGGAAGCGCTCGTGGAGCCCAGCTGGGCCCTTTCTGCGCCGCTACACTCAACGATGACTTTATTATCAAAAGCCTTAAAGTAAAGCATGACGAAGAGGCTTCACATCTCTTCACTAAACATCAACCTACAAGCGCGCTGGTGAAAAGAAAAACAAAGCTAAAACACGGCGTGGCTTTACGCAGTCAGCGGTGACTAAAGGCCCAGAAACGAGGAAAGCTTGCACGACACTTGTTAGGCGGCTGGCAAGCGAGCCGCTTCTCCCCGCCGCGAAGGGCCACAACCCCCCG